AGGAACGTACTCCTGGACAGAGCACCTGGCACCAGCAAGAATGACAGAGGGTGGAAGGGTCCTACCATCAAAGGTAATCTTCACAACCCGGAGGGGTTGACGGCGACTACCACGAGGGGGACGAGTAAACGTGTCCACCTGGAGAATAGAATGGCCCTGGGCAGCGAGGATATGGCGAATATCGTCGTGGCAGTCGCGCAGGTCCCGAACACCGGTTGCAACATGGGGCGGGAGCAAAATAGTGCCAACACTGGCATTCAATTGAGCGTTCTTCGAGACCCGAACGGGGGTCTCGCCAAGGCAGGATAAGGCAGCCAAGCGGGAAGCAGCATCCTGAGAAGGAGCAGCAACGACACGCGTACCGAGACGAGTGGGGTTAAAAGTAATGGAGGCATCCACGGAATCAATGAGATGTCGATGAAGGGAGAAATCGTCAGGAGGCGCAGAATCAAGAGGGAGGAGATCAAAATATTTGGCCCACGAAGCGGGACCAAACAAGGCTTGATAGGTAGCAGAACTGGAAGGAATCGAGCGAGGGCGGCCGTGACGAGAACGGCGGTGAGAACCCCCAGAGAGAGAGGGGTTAAAAGGCGCAGTAGTTACAACTAGAGAAGGAGCCGCGCCAGGGGACGAGGTAGTCACCACTGGGGGCTTGGGGCTCGACCCAACCACAGAGGAGGGAGGGGAGCCAGGGGAAGGAGTCAGAGAGGCCAAAGGAGGAGCAAGGTCGGGGCCCAATGCAGCGGAGGCTACAGAGCCCGGTCTTCCAATACGGACCGACTCGGGGGCTTGGTCGCCCACCCCACGAGCCTGAAAGGTAAGCCAGAAGCAGCCGAAACAGGGGTTATCATCTTGACGAAATTACGAATTCACTCACGAATGTGCCCCCACACCCACCATGGAGCCACAATTAGAGGCAGGACACCCAACAAGAAGCTATCGCCGATCTTGTCGGGGCCTCCTAGGGGTGCGTCGTGAGTATACGCCCCACAAACGCCACCTTAAGAAACCGACAGTCCGTCGAGATCGGGTTCAGTGACGAAGTGGGGATTGACAATAAAAGGTTCCCCTCGCTCTCGACGTCGGGTACTGCAGTTCTACGGGTGCAAGAGTATGCCTCCTCAAGCACCCGGGCGTCAAAGTAGAAGAAGTCCAAGGGAAGAACCAGAACGAGCAAAAGGTCGGCAGGAAACGGCAAGCAGATAGGAGAAGAGGGGGGGGAAAAACGAAACAGAAGGAAAAGGAAAAGATGCCCAGCAGAATTGGAGAGGACGGCAGCAGGAGCACAAGGCTAGAAAAGGACAGAGGACTGTCCCAAGGAGCATCACACTCCGGCAGCCGCCCACTAAGCCCCCAGACGGCGACAACGAGCTGAGCGGGGAGGGGGGGCTACCTCTCAAGCCGACTGGGACAGGAAACTAGCGCCTCTCGCCGGTATATTCCCTGTCATCACTAGATGGCGTTGACCATGTTGTGGGGGTTTCGGGAGCGGACTCACAGATGGCGCTGACATCACTGCTCCGTGCTCTGACGATGGACTTGGGTTCGTAACACAACTGATGTGGAATTGCATCCTGGGGCTGATCAACCAGGCTGTGATTGATACTTCAGTCTACGAACAAGATCTCGCAAGGCATTCCTCCTGAATGAGCTTGAATTGAAGAAAGGTCATAGGTCTGACCTCCGCTCTACCTCAAACGCGTCATTCATTCTCTCTCTCCCTTAGGTGCGCCATGTTCCCCACATACAAATTCCAAGCATTGCGCTGATAGTAAACATATACAAAACATATGACTACACATAAGGGGCATAACTGGCCGACCCCTCACAGTGTTCAAGAGAGAACTGGATAAGCACCTCCAAAGGATACCTGATCAACCAGGCTGTGACTCATACGTCAGGCTGCGAGCAGCCGCGTCCAACAGCCTGGTTGACCAGTCCGGCAACCAGGAGGCCTGGTCGACGACCGGGCCGCGGGGACGCTAAGCCCCGGAAGCACCTCAAGGTAACCTCAAGGTAACTACCATTTCGTTCTATGTTTTTACCGATGAGAGCGGTATGAAAGTGGGACCATCCACCCAAGTCATAACAGGAGTTGTCTCTCTCTCTCACAGCGAGGTATACATCAGAGATACACTAAAAGGGACGTCATTAGTTCATGTGTTAAACACAGGACCCTGGGTGACTGTTTCTAATGAGCCGTGAGCGAGCGGTGACGTATTTTGTAAACACCCAGCTGCATAGGATACACTTTCCTATGCAGCTGCTGGTGCAGCTTTCCACCAGCCAACCAGCCATCCTACACACTTTTCACAGTATACAGATCATTAAATAGTTAGGGGACAGACAATCATCTTTGCTTTCTCCGGATGCGTCTGTTCACATAACGTTTTCCTTTCAATTATAGCTTCTGGTTATTTAGCGTTAACAATATTTCTAATTCATTTAACTTTTTACATATAGTTTTTTCACATTTCATATCGAGTGGCCCTGTCTCTCTCTCCTTATCGCTGAGTTGTCACACAGCTCAGCAACTCTTTCATCCCCACATTAGCACTCGATCCTACTAGTGACTAATCTTCACCTTAGTAATTCTCAATGGAATAGTCGGTGTGTGATGTTAACAGAGGAACTTAGTTTTTTGTTTAAAAGGCTTTCAGTTAATAGCCGTTAATTACGTAGGATTGGATAGACCGGTTGTTGTTTTGTGCAAAAACCTTTACGACCCAGTTCACAAACGCACGCACAAACGTTTAAGATTTGGAGACATAAAACGATACATTAACCGAAGGAAGACTGACATGTCTCCATCGGAATAAGCACAGAGGTCAACCCTTGTAACCTTGAAAAGTAACGTGACCAACGTGCGATCATCATTCTTTCCCCAAACAACTTCTTTAAGAGTAACGAGCGCCGTAAGCCAGTCTTCAATCGTATTCTTCATATAAATATTCCTGCGAGTCTGTTTTAGCTCCCTTGTAACATGCGCAATGTATTGTAACGCAGAAATCAGCGTTCTGTCGTCCAAATAAATATCATTTTGAAATGTAAAGCGTGTCTACCTAACGTAACGTGACCCACATGCAAACATCGTTCGCTCATTCTTTTACTGTGTGACTGTTTTAGACCTTGTAAGACACAATGTAATGTCACGTAATGTGGAAAATCATAGACTTGATATTATATTTTTAAAATTGGGTTGTTCATTATCTCTGAGTACAAGCCATTTATCGGGTTTTATTTCAAGGCTCGCTCTAACATACAACATAGTTGAAGCAGGTATTTACACCCCCCTCGTTTTTATATCTGCCAACCCAGCTGATGCATTAATGAAATAGATGGTTTCAATTTTGCTAGGCTCAACACGTCAAGTCCGTATATGTTCTCTCTTCGACAGACACGCAGTTTCAGACCGTCTGACCTTGACTCCGGTGATGTGGGGTAAGACAACCTTGAGGCGTTTAGCACCGTGTGTGTGTGTGTGTGTGTGTGTGTGTGTGTGTGTGTGTGTGTGTGTGTGTGTGTGTGTGTGTGTGTGTGTGTGTGTGTGTGTGTGTGTGTGTGTGTGTGTGTGTGTGTGTGTGTGTGTGTGTGTGTGTGTGTGTGTGTGTGTGTGTGTGTGTGTGTGTGTGTGTGTGTGTGTGTGTGTGTGTGTGTGTGTGTGTGTGTGTGTGTGTGGTGTGTGTGTGTGTGTGTGTGTGTGTGTGTGTGTGTGTGTGTGTGTGTGTGTGTGTGTGTGTGTGTGTGTGTGTGTGTGTGTGTGTGTGTGTGTGTGTGTGTGTGTGTGTGTGTGTGTGTGTGTGTGTGTGTGTGTGTGTGTGTGTGTGTGTGTGTGTGTGTGTGTGTGTGTGTGTGTGTGTGTGTGTGTGTGTGTGTGTGTGTGTGTGTGTGTGTGTGTGTGTGTGTGTGTGTGTGTGTGTGTGTGTGTGTGTGTGTGTGTGTGTGTGTGTGTGTGTGTGTGTGTGTGTGTGTGTGTGTGTGTGTGTGTGTGTGTGTGTGTGTGTGTGTGTGTGTGTGTGTGTGTGTGTGTGTGTGTGTGTGTGTGTGTGTGTGTGTGTGTGTGTGTGTGTGTGTGTGTGTGTGTGTGTGTGTGTGTGTGTGTGTGTGTGTGTGTGTGTGTGTGTGTGTGTGTGTGTGTGTGTGTGTGTGTGTGTGTGTGTGTGTGTGTGTGTGTGTGTGTGTGTGTGTGTGTGTGTGTGTGTGTGTGTGTGTGTGTGACATTTGGCTCGTTAGCCTTCGACGTCATGGCTTTACCGTCACCGCCTAATCAGCGGTTGTTTCTCCTAGCCCCCCTCACGTGTTAACAGTGAAGAGACAGCAAAGCTTAACATGGATATTGTATCTAGTTTTAAAAAGGATTTGAATAAGAGGAGTCATATTCCATAAAATACTTACATCCACCATTATCTATGAGCAGTAAGAGGAGGTTCTGTTCACCACATATAAAATTCTGTGCATTACACAGCAATGTAAAGCATAACAAGTCAAAATGTAGCGATACGCTATTAGATAGATAGTCAAAACATATAACAAGATTTTAAACTATTACTTGTTTTTTCTTCTAACAAATAAGGTATCTTTAAGCTGCTCATCACTTAGAACACTTGTTCTGTTTCATAATGTTGCTAACTTTTACCAAACAATCACCAACACCAATCTTTCACATTCCTTAACTAAATTATTCCTCAATCAGGTGAAAACAGTTCATTATTTCTGTATCTCCAGCATTTATACAGACAGATCAGACATTCATTCATTCCCACCGTAATGAGTGAGTTTTAGTTGTTCACATTTCATATCGTGTGTGTAGATTAGTTTAAACAAAGGTGACCCTCTAGTCCACGAACTAATAGTTGGCGTTAGGAGGAAAGGTTTTTGTGAAATGTGAACCACGCAATGCTGGAAGACAGACAAGTTGGGGAGACGTGATCACTACCTACAAATTCTAATATTTTTTGTATGATTTCACCATACACCTCATAGTCTCTTTCTCACACTAGCCAATAAACCTTTCAATCATTTCTCGACTAAAATAACACTCCGAAACATCAGTGTTCATCTTTATTCTCACGGTCACAGTCTTAGTCCGCAGTATTCTCACGGTCACAGTCTTAGTCCGCAGTATTCTCACGGTCACAGTCTTAGTCCGCAGTATTCTCACGGTCACAGTCTTAGTCCGCAGTATTCTCACGGTCACAGTCTTAGTCCGCAGTATTCTCACGGTCACAGTCTTAGTCCGCAGTATTCTCACGGTCACAGTCTTAGTCCGCAGTATTCTCACGGTCACAGTCTTAGTCCGCAGTATTCTCACGGTCACAGTCTTAGTCCGCAGTATTCTCACGGTCACAGTCTTAGTCCGCAGTATTCTCACGGTCACAGTCTTAGTCCGAAGTATTCTCACGGTCACAGTCTTAGTCCGCAGTATTCTCACGGTCACAGTCTTAGTCCGAAGTATTCTCACGGTCACAGTCTTAGTCTGCAGTATCCTCACGGTCACAGTCTTAGTCTGCAGTATCCTCACGGTCACAGTCTTAGTCCGCAGTATTCTCACGGTCACAGTCTTAGTCCGCAGTATTCTCACGGTCACAGTCTTAGTCTGCAGTATTCTCACGGTCACAGTCTTAGTCCGAAGTATTCTCACGGTCACAGTCTTAGTCAGCAGTATTTACGTTTCACTACTGCGTGGGCGTCTCGTGGTAAATAACTAAACTGTCTTTACCCATCCTACAGATGTCAGGCTTTCAGTCTTCTCATATTTTTTTACAAATAAAGTTTACTTACTCATTAGAAACAGTCACCCAGGGTCCTGTGTTTAAGACATGAACTAATGACGTCTCTTTTAGTGTATCTCTGATGTATACCCCGCTGTGAGAGAGAGACAACTCCTGTTACGACTTAGGTGGGTGGTTCCACTTTCATACCGCTCTCATCGGTAAAACATAGAACAAAATGGTAGCGTCATATGTTTTGTATATGTTTACTTTACTATCAGTGCAATGCTTGGAATTTGTATGTGGGGAACATGGCGCACCTATGGGGAGAGAGAGAATGAATGACGTGTTTGAGGTAGAGCGGAGGTCAGACCTATGACCTTCCTTCAATTCAAACTCATTCATGAGGAATGCCTTGTGAGATCTGGTAAAGGTATAACTATTCTATCCTCATAACTTGATACAGTCTTCAGTTCACTATCACATGTTTGACTGACACGTTAACTGCATATACTTACTCTTAAAAGTTAAATGAATTAGAAAATATTGTTAACGCTAAGTAAACAGATGCAAGAAGTGAAAGGAAAAAGATACGTGAACAGTGGCATTAGGAGAAAGAAATTGATGTTTACTTTTCCCCTAACTATTTAATGATGTGAATAGAGAGAGAGAAAAGCATGTAGGTTGGTAACCAGTGACTGCTATGTGTATCCCATGCAGCGCTCGCTCACTTACTTGAGACACCTTTTAAGATGTGAAATGTCTCCCTCATTCAGTAAAACGCTTAGAATGAGCTACAGCGCTAAATGGTTCAAGGTCTGACGGGGTCATTATTCTCTAACTCACTTAACCTCGAGCTAACTATTTCACTATCGACTCATCCGGTCTTATTCTCATCGGTTAGTGTTTATATTTGGATAATGTAGGTCTTAGAGGCAGTCTTGAACTCAGTGATAATGAACAAGTCAATTTAAAATATAATAATAATAATAATATCAAGACTAAGATTTTCCACATTAGTCTTATATATGTTTACTTTGCTAACAGCGCATGCTTGGAATTTGTATGTGGGGAACATTGCTCACCTAAGGGAGAGAGAATGAATGGCGCGTTTGAGGTATAGCGGAGGTGAGACGGCGGTGTGTTTGCAGACCTCACCCATCTCACTACTACCGCCAACACAGGCCTGTCTGACGTGTAAACTAATCACCATCATTGAACACCAACGACACAAACAGAATTGGGTGAGAAAGTTATACGCCCCCCCCCCCACTATCAGACAAAAAGCTACTGCCCGCTCCCCTCCCTTCCCCTCTCACCCTTCATCACATGCCCTACCCCTCTTCCCCTCTCACCCTTCATCACATGCCCTACCCCTAACCACCCATTTTAAGAGCCTGGTCTCCTACCTTCTCAGGGGTAGGGGGGGGCGGCCCTCCCTCCTCAACATATCCTTGTCAGGGTAGGGGGGGGGTCCTCCCTCAACATATCCTACATACTCTTATTTAATATATATATATATATATATATATATATATATATATATATATATATATATATATATATATATATATATATATATATATATATATATATATATGAATGACCTAAAAAGTAAGATTAATAATTCTAACACGAAGTTTCTCAATATTTCTTATGTTTCTTTTCGCTGTCGATGGTAATTGAAAAATCAATTCTCCAAAATTCATTTTTATTTGGAGAATTGATTTTTCAATTACCATCGAAAGTGAAAAGAAACATAATAGAGAAAATTTGTGTTAGAATTATTAATCTTACTTTTTCGGTCATATTTAATAATATATGTTTACAAGAAAGACTGCTACCAAAATATACTAATATATACTATATATATATATATATATATATATATATATATATATATATATATATATATATATATATATACCGTGCTGACCGTTAACGACCTTCACGGTCGTTAACCTTGTTCTCCCTGTAATATTGAAAGTATAACTATTAAATAACAGTGCCATTTTTTTTATGCGACGCAATAACACGATAAGGCATTCCGTAACACTCCTCCCCCCCTTAAAAGAGTGTTATATCTGAGCATCCAAACTAATTTTCTCTACCGAATGTAGCACTATTCCTTTTGCGTCCATCATACAAAGATTTAACTCATTCTAGTCATGACATGTCTTATCAGACATACCTTATCATTTTGTAGAAATGGTGCCATACCTACTGGACACAGATCTTTGGCGTTCAGGATCTCCTTTGCCTCCAACTGCACACAAAATCTGTTTAACAACAAATCATTTTTATAAGTATGTACAGAAATACATTGGTACGTTATCTGAATACACCGCTTTTGACAGTGTGGCTGATGCATAAGTACTTTCCTGAGGTCTACCGTCCCTCGTCACTTCACTATTTCTTATTTTCTTTTCTAAAACGTCTTAATTCACATTTCCATCTACTGCCATTATACTTCCGTCTCCTGTCGTCATACTTCACTCCCTCGTCTTCACTGACGATCGTCTTTCGTCTCCTCATTTATCCGAGACTTCCTCTTTGACTTCCATCGAATCCTCGGTTTTCTTCTATTCCTCCATGCTTGTATCATCATCTTCTCACACTTCTCACCTCTATACAACTCCATTTCTTCTCCTTCAACTCTTCTTCGTTCCCTAAAAGTTTCTTCGAGCACTGTACTACACCCAACAGCCCTCTACCGTACATGTCGCTTTACCTCTCCTAGTGTGCTCGTAAGCATCTCTCCACACATACTGTCTCTTTCTTTTTCTCGGCTATTACTCTTCTTCACTACCTCTCCTCCACGTTTTCTGTGAAATATGTCAACTCCTGACATCTCAAACAACTTAACTCCATTATCCCTATGCTTCTGCGCTCGTGGACAACTTGACGCTCTACTCCCGTCCTCAGTCTGTCCACATCCTTCCTTACTTCTGCTCAGCACAGTTGCATTCACCTTCCGACTCTTATACGTCCATTCTCTCTGGCACATCTCTTAGTCGAGCACTCTGCGCTAGGGTTACGACGCAGGCCGGATATACATCCTTTTGATCATCTTCCGAGGGATCATCCCGAATACTGGCGAGCATTATGTTATCACATTTTTCATCTTCCAAATTGTTTTGATGTCCGTTTGGTATATCACTGCTCAGTACCTCTGGCAACACACTTGAACCACACAAATCGTTGCCCAAGATGACGTGTACTCCAGGAATGGGTATGTCCGAGCACACTCCTAACATCACTTCATCTGTAAAGTAATCAGAGGTTAGCTTTACTGTACACACAGGTATATCCATCTCTGAATTTATACCCCGTACCTTAATTATTTGTCCGTTTATACAAGATGTGTACTCAGGAATCAGGCTTTTCAGTATTAAGCTGTGATTCGCTCCTGTGTCACGTAATATTGTGACTTGTTGGTCAGGCTGACCCCCAATACTCACCATACCTTTGCTAATGAAAGGGTTATATCCTTTCGTAATGAACGTCATCACCTGGGGCAATTCCTCCTTTAAACTCTTATACGGACGACTGTATTTACTTACTGTGAGGGACACCACTCTCCTGCCTTGCCTACACTCTCCACTAAAGTGTCCAGGCTTGTTACATGTGTAGCATATTACCTGAGAAGGGAATCCTCGTCCTCTCGAACTACGTTGTCCATTATAATAGGATTCGCCACGTCTCCATTGTCCTGTACCTCGATTTCGAGACGATGTTGTACTTCCTCCCTGACCCGAGGGTGCGCTAGCCTGACCCTCGAATGCGTCACCTCCCGACGGAAAAAATTCCACATACCCCTGACTTTGTCAGGCTATCGGCTTGCCCGTATATCCACGACCATCTCCACTGTTCCACATATACCGTCTTTTACTACCCTGCAACTTTGCGTGACCTTTTTCTTTATGTTCCTGGAGACTTCTGTAAGCTTCCGTAATCACATCTGCTTTGTCCATTGCTTCTAAGAGTGTTTTTATTCCTGTTTCTTGAACCTTAAACCTGGTGTCTGGAGTCACCATCTTCAAGAATTTTTCCATTAACATCAATTGTTTTAAGTCTTCGAATGATTCTACCTTTTCGAAACCCATCCATCTTTGGAATCTACGTTCCAAATCTCTGGCTGTTTCAGCATATGTGCTCCTTTGTGTCTTTACCATTTCTCTGAACCGCTTCCGGTAAGCTTCACAGTCCAGTAATTTTTACAATCTTGTAGAGAGAGCTGTGTATAGGCCTCTCTCTCTCTCTCGCCTCCCCAGTCAATCTTATTTGCACCAATTGGGCCCAATCCTCCTCTGGCCACTGCTTTAGTTTAGCAACTTTTTCAAAATGCTCAAAAAAAGACTCTGACTCTTCCGGACAAAATTGCGGAACCTCCTTTTCACGTGCCTTATGATCGTATGCTGCAGGCATAGGTGTGCTCTCCGAGTGTACCTCTCGCCCTCGCCTCTGAGCAGCCACAAATTTATTTGCTTCGATTTCCATTTGCTTCGTTTTCTCCTTTTCTAATTCTACACGCGTTTTTTGCTCACTCTGAAGTCGCACTCTTTTTCTAGCTCTCAAGTCTCTTTTTTCTTGTTCACTTTCCAATCGCATTTTCTCTGTCTCACTCTGAAGTCGCAATTTCTCTTGCTCCAGTTTCAGTTTCTCTAACTGAAACTGTCTCTCTTCCCTCGTGATTTGAGCTTCAAGTCTCAAACGTTCCAGTTCATACTCTAAATTTCCACTCCTATGTGACGTATCAGAAGATACTTCCTCATTATCTTGTTCCCCACTTTCCTTTACACTCATATCTAATCCTACCGCTCCTACGTCTTCGCGTCGTGACTTTACTTTATTTCCAAGTTCTTGTCTCATATAGACCACTTTAGTCGACACTAATTCTATCTCATAGTGTTCGGCGATTTGCTTCAGTTGTTCTTTCGTACAGCTCTCCAAAATCAATGGGTCCTCTTTCGTTATAAATTCTTGGACACAA